TGTTGTTGTTGTTGTTGTTGTTGTTGTTGTTGTTGTTGTTGTTGTTGTTGTTGTTGTTGTTGTTGTTGTTGTTGTTGTTGTTGTTGTTGTTGTTGTTGTTGTTGTTGTTGTTGTTGTTGTTGTTGTTGTTGTTGTTGTTGTTGTTGTTGTTGTTGTTGTTGTTGTTGTTGTTGTTGTTGTTGTTGTTGTTGTTGTTGTTGTTGTTGTTGTTGTTGTTGTTGTTGTTGTTGTTGTTGTTGTTGTTGTTGTTGTTGTTGTTGTTGTTGTTGTTGTTGTTGTTGTTGTTGTTGTTGTTGTTGTTGTTGTTGTTGTTGTTGTTGTTGTTGTTGTTGTTGTTGTTGTTGTTGTTGTTGTTGTTGTTGTTGTTGTTGTTGTTGTTGTTGTTGTTGTTGTTGTTGTTGTTGTTGTTGTTGTTGTTGTTGTTGTTGTTGTTGTTGTTGTTGTTGTTGTTGTTGTTGTTGTTGTTGTTGTTGTTGTTGTTGTTGTTGTTGTTGTTGTTGTTGTTGTTGTTGTTGTTGTTGTTGTTGTTGTTGTTGTTGTTGTTGTTGTTGTTGTTGTTGTTGTTGTTGTTGTTTTTTGTTGTTTTTTCTTCGTTTTTTTTCCCATTTTTGCGCCTGGTGCGCAGGTCCCTGAATCTCACCTGAAAAGCAACGGCGGTCTACCGCTTGAAATGCCGAAGTTCACACCATCTCACTTTACGCCACTTTAGATTCAACTCTGATCATGGATGTTGATGGCATCATACATGAAACTGTCCAAGTTGGCCGTCAATGATGAATAAATGGGTTCAAGAATAGAGTTGCCTCATGAATTGCGGGGGTGAACCATCAAAGATATGAGTCATTTGGGATCACCCATCTACCTCAATTGACCAATACATAATAATAGGTATGAGTGAAATTACCAACATATTGGGAATCTTGATCTGTCGATTGAGGGTCTAGGTAGAGTCAACTCAAGCAACATATCGAAGCAATCAAAGAGAGTGCTCAATTTACCGGCTTCACGTGCCTGAAAGGGAAACGTGTTCCTCCACCTATCAGTGACTAGCCCCAGCGAATTTCATACCAAGTTGAGCCTACACTTGTCACTTTGGTCAGTTCCAATTTTGCTTTGGCTAGACCCAACACATATTCCGCTCCTTTCCTTTGGGGAGCAGCTTTTACATGAGATGGCTAACACCAACGCCTTGCAAAAAGCACATGCCCACATACATATGTTTGTACAGCCATATATATATATATGCTGTCACAATGGCTGGGCCATGTAGCACAGGGGTTATTGAACATCGCCGTTCCCGTTTTTTCGCGCCTCATGCGCAACGTGAACCGCCACGGGAAGGCCATCGTCCTCCGAAAAAAGATGGACTCAGGGTGCTTCTCATAGGAAGCGCTGCCCTGAGGCAAGGGCTTCCTTCAATCTGCCGGGGGGTAATGGAGGTTTGGAGCAAAACTAGTTACCTGAAGTGTTTGCTTTCGGCTTCCTTTCAAATTGTTTGCCCAAAATGGCACCTGGTAAATGGAAACAAAGACCAGCTGCGCAACCCTAGCTCTTTCATAAAATGAGCCAAACCTTACCAATCAAAAGGGGGGTCGAAGCCCATTTTGAGAACCCAGGCGGAATCGGCCTGGATGGCAGTCGCATGGGGATCCGAGGACAATCGGCACAGGGTGATTCGACAGGGAACAGACTGCGGGCATGGGCTCGGAGCAAACGTGGGCCTGTCCCGTCTCTTTTCTTTTCTTTTTCACGACCCTCTGTTTTTACACGGGAAGCCGAGCCGGAAGGGTGACTCGTTTGCTGAGGGCACCCCTTTCTTGGTGGGATTGAAGTGAAACCTGGTTCCAAGTGAGATATGACTTGCAATCCCGGTGCCCATCTACCCTGCTGACTGAAAAACTCTATGTTTCTTTCGTGCGTGAAAAAGTGACCTACCCACTTCCAAAGAACCAAGGAGCAATGACCACATCCCCTAGGCCGCCTGGCAACCGGCTGAGACCAAGCCGCCAGAAACCGAAGCCCGAAGCCCCAGCCTGGGAATGAATTTCGAAGTGTCCGAAGCGCCTTTATTTAAAAAAAATAAAATGAAAAATGCATCACAGAATTGGGTATGGGTCAAAATTAAACCACCGGAAAAACCCGCAGGTTTTAGTCCATGTTTCCATTTACCAGGGTCCATTTTGGGTACCTATTTTTGACCCACGGCCAATTGACCATGAGTGTTTGAGGGTCGCCCTTTTTGGCTGAGTGCAAAGGAAAACCAAAGAACCACACACACACACACACACACACTCTTTGTGGGATCCCCCCTCTGTTGGTCAAAATACCCACATGGGGAATCTATGTCCATCTTTTTTCGGGGTGTTCAGGCGTAGTTCTTTGGAATCCTTCCGCAGTCCCTCTGCAAACGCCCGAAACGAAGCCATCAAAAGCCCCCGAATTTAAGACACACCTAAATGGCTTTTTGGCTAAAAGGGGTAGCCTCAAAAAGGGGTATAACCTTCAAAGGGGTAACCTGCAAAGTGGTGCGAGGGCATCACTTTGTGAGTACCCCAAGGTAGGTCACCCCAGTCCCACTCGAAAGGCGTCGATTCCGTGGATTCCACCACCTTGACCCCAGCCCAGCCACGAGCATTGCCCCCTCCTCCCTTGAGAAAAACAAAAATCCGCGAGCCACCCGCCACCAGCCACCCAGCACTCCCGCGCTCTCGCGCCCCACAGGCCTCCTGCAGCATGAGCTTGAAGCGGAACTCCACACTGGGCAAAGGTTAGCCACCGAGTGGTTCGGAGCCCAGCGGTCTGGGGATGAACCGTTGCTTCCATTGACCGGCCCCCGTTAGGAGGGATAGAGGTCTCGGCCAAAATTTATGCCTAGCTTGGATGGGTCGTTTGGGTTGATTCGCCATTGACCCTTTGGTAGAGGTAAAACCACAAGCTCGTCTGATTTGCAGACCCACTCTGCCGCATGGAGGACTCCCTCCCTTTTGGGTCGACCGTACGCAATGGTCTCCCAGTCCAAAACGCACCACAGGGGGAAGAAAAAAAACGCTCGCAGGAGATCCCTGAAGGTGGCGACTTCCAGAGGCGATCCAAAAGGTGATATTAAAACATAAAATTATGTTGTTATTATTATTATTATCATCATCATCATCATCATCATCATCATCATCATCATCATCATCATCATTATTATTATCATCATCTTATTTTTTACTTTTCTTTTTATCTTCTATCTCAAAAAGGAAGAACAAAATGGACCTAGGGGAGTTCGAGGTGCTCCAAGGGTCGACTCGGAGTTGGCTCGCTCGCCTCACGTGCTCTTGGGCACCCGCCTAAAGAGCCAATGCCCGCAGGGCATCACCTGGCGCGAAGGGACTTGAGGCTCCCTTAAGCTCCCCTCCAGGGCCGCGAAAGAGACCAAGCCGTGCTAAAATGGCTGTGGGTCCAAAATAGGTAACCAAGATGGAGCCTTAGTAAATGGAACCAAAGACTAAAACCTGCGGTCCCCTAGCGGTTTAATTTTGACCCACACCCAAATGGTCCAAACCCAAAAAGTGACTTAAAGTCCAGGAACTCCACAAGTGAGTGCCCCCCCAAAAGAGATTGGGCAAAATGATGGTGTTTTGCTAGCACACAGGCCCGCTACTTGCTACCATCCGACATCCGAAAACAAGTTTGACACGTCACGGCTCCCTTTCGACATGTTCACTCGTGCGGGACCTTGAAGGGGAACAGATCCCAGTGGCATCCTGTTTGGGGCTTCGTCTCACTAGGGACCTTTCGAAATGGCGGGCTTTGGTTTCCCCTATCCAAAGGGGTTCCTCAAAACAAGTGCCAGGTCCCCCAGCAGTGTCCCAATTTCCACCCGAAACGAAGATGGCCAAAACATGGAACCTTAACGTACATTTGACACACGAAAAGGGGTGCTAAGCTGGCAAAGATAAGCTGCCAAGTGTCGGCCCTCACAAATCATCAGGCATTCATAGATCATTCATACGGACCCAAACGACTTGACCAGGGGACTGAATGGCTAAGACTCCTTGCGCGCCTTGCGAGCGATGCAAGGATTCGTGGTGAATTTCTTGGGGACAGTCTGGGCCAATCCCCTTGAACATGTTTCCCCCTGAGTTTCTCACTTCCTGCGTGGATTGGCCCAAAGTCCGGCACTGCTTTTTATTTTCACCACCAAAAAAAACCGTGTCTTCCAACCAGGCGTCTTCCACCGCGGCCGTTCCGGCCCCAGAAACTCGCGCGGCCCGAAAAAGAAATGCGCGCGGCGAGCGGCCTTCCTCCGCCTCTTCGAACCCCGGAGGTCGTTGGGCGCGGGGTAGGTCTGATTCGCCCGGAAGAAATCGGGCTGTGGGGCTGTGGGGAATGGAATCCACTTCTGTACAACAGACTTTGGGCTTTGGGCTGCCCAAAGGCTATGTTGTTGAGGGAAAATTCCCAACAGTATCACAGAAGTGGTTGGAGAAAGAAACCCCGAGAGATCCCACGACCCTGGGCAGGAAGACATCTCTTTTTTGGTCGGTTGTTGGGGGCACCCCCAACAATGGTTGGGGAAACCAAAAGGAAAGCCAAAACAAAGACCGAAATGGAGACCAAAAAAAGTGTTCTGTCTGTTGTTGGGGGAACCCCCCGCTTTGGTTGGGGGAAACAAAAAAAAAACCAAAAGGAAACCAAAAACTGAAGGAAAACTGGGACACAAAGAGGACACTTTGGTTTTATGGGAGACCTGGGACACCAAAAGGCAAACCGAAGTGAGGATTTAACTTTTCGCGTGACGCCTAAGAAAAGTGGGATTGCTACTAGCAAATGGGCTCTGAGCAAGCTACTTCAAATCTCGATCTGCTGGCTTAATGTGGAAGGTAATCTGCAATTTTTGCAGTCTGTTCATGTGACGCTTGAATAGCCTGAGTGATGCCACTTGCTATGCTATCATTCAACACCGGCTCGGCCGAACAAGCTGTGCGACTCTATACGCAGCATGGGGCGCATCTTTCCCTGCACTCTTTGTGCCTGCACGTTCGCGGGGCTGCTTTGGCCCCAAGAGTTTGTCCCACTCGGGCGGGAAGCAAAAGCTTGGGAACGTCGGACTTCGCTGGACAAAAACAACAATTTTCCGAGAGCGGAGGCCCGCGATCTCCATTGTCCGGCGACCTCAAGCCTTCGTCAGCTCCCGTTTCGGAGCTTCACAAACTTCTCCAGCCGAGCGAAGAAGCCCTCAGACATCACTGGATCTGGGGCAAAAAAATCGAGGATGGGATAGACGTGCACCTGGCGCTCCTCGCAGTGCGCCACGACTTCGACTCCGCTCCGCTTCAAGACCTTGCACAGCCGCTCGATCTGGGACCGGAAGACCTCGGCGCCCGCATACTCCAGCAGAACCGGCGGAAACCTGACTCTTCAAGCGGCATGGAAACGCAAAACCAAAGGCGGCTCTTCTTGGCCGCCCCCGAAAAATGAGATATCAGAACCAACTAAAAGCAAAAAAAACAGACACCCCCCTCCACCCCCCCCCCCCAAGAAAAGAAAAAAGAAGAAAGAAAAAGTGTTTGCCAACTACCGTCTGAAGAGAACCCTTCCGGCCAGCTCTCCTGGCGCGCGGGCGAGAGCTCCGGGTCCTCCAAATCAACGCCCTCCCCCGCGTAGAGCTCCGCCGTGAGCCGCGACTGCTCCGCCGGGATGAAGTCGATGTCCCGGAAGTCCGTCCAGGAGCTGCTGGACCTCTGCGAAACGCGAGGTTGGGGGAGAGACATTGGGCGCTCACCTTGGCAGAAGCTATGGCCAGCCATTTTGGAGGTGAGCATCCATTTGGGTAGGTGAGTGATGTGAGTGGTTTTCCGCCAGTTCTTTGCCCCACAAATGGAACCCACCGGAGGGTTTGGTAGGGGTTTCCCAAGAAAACCACCCCCAAAAAGGGGAGACGCACCGCAAAATGCTGGGGTTTCCTTCGGTTTCTCTTGAGATGTCCACTCAAAGGGTTTTCCTTTGGCCCTCTGCAAGAACCAGGGCGTCAAATCCCCAAACCACAAATTTCTGAATTTGTTTTCGATAAGTCTAAAACCTGACTTACGGGATCCCCAAGCAAGGGACCTTTGGTGAGCTCGTGCCCCTCGAGCAAAATGGGAGAGTAACCTTTTGGGGCCACTAAGCATTTGGTTCCCATTCAAAACGGGGAAACTTGAAGGGGTCAGATCCGGTCGCTAAGTGGCACATCCGCTAAGTCGACCCAGGGCGACAGAAGCACCAGCCCCGCCACAGTTTTCGGCTCCCTCCTCGCCACTTGCAGCGCCAAGTTCCCGCCCGCGCTGTCGCCGCCCAGAAACATCCGGGTGCGTTTGGAGCGCAGCGCCCCGTAGGCCTTCCAAACGTCCAGCCCGGGCTCGGGGAAGGTGTGCCTCGGGGGCTTGCGATAGTTGGGGCAGAAGATCGCGCACTTGGTGCGCGCCGCCACGCGCGCCAGGAACTGCCGGTGCGTGCCAGGGGAACAAAACGCGAAGCCGCCGCCGTGCGCCCACACCAGCAAATCCTCGGAGGCCTCCGCCGGCAGCAGCCACTCCCCCTGCACGCCACCGACGGTGTCCAGCTCCACGTCGACGCCCGAGGGCAGCAACATGGCGGGAAAACCCACGGAGTTGGTCACCGGCTGCAGGTAGGTCGCCAGCGTCTCCGGCGCCAGCATGGCGCGCGGCACGCTGCGCATGCTCTGCCGCAGCAGCCCGAGGGCAGCGCGGAAGCTTGACGTCATCACCATGGCGATTGCTCTTGCGAGAGCGGGCGCGCGCGAGCTCACTGGGCGGTGCTCAGGTGATCTGGAAGCTACCGCAGTGAGCCGCGCTTCGGAGATGGAAAGCTTCCAGTTGCGCTGTATGCCCTCTGGAAAAGAAGAAAATATGACCCGTCGCGAAATCGATTCCCTTCAAAACCAAAAGGGAGTCTACAACAAAACAACGTATACATCAAAAACAAAAACAAAAAAAACGACACACATTTTTCAGCACACGGAAGGACGCGGCTCCAGAGAGGCCGAATCAGGCCGAACCCGCGAAAGCTTCCGGACCCCAGCCCAAGACGGGCGGATCGAGTCAAGGCGCGTGGCCGCAGCAGCGGCAGCGCATCACCACCAAGGACTCCACCTCAGCGCGCGCGCCCGAAGCGCGCGCTGCGATTCCACGCGCGGCGATTTCCGTTTTGCGCGCGGCCCGTTTCGAGGGGGGCTTCGAGGGGGGCAACTGCCTTCACTTCATGTGGGACAAGGTGCAGCGCACGCAAAAAAATAAAAGAAAAAAGAGAGAGCGGGGCTCAGAGCCCTCTTGAGACAAAGACAAAATAGGTGCTTCATCCCATTTTACGAAGGGATGTGGTTGCTAAGGAGCCGGGAATCATCAGATCAAATGCCAAAATAGAAACACGAGAATGGAATAAAGAGATGAAAGCTGCGTTGCTGTGACTAAAGCAGGCAGTGGGCTAGAACTTGCTTTCTGTGAGAAACGCCTCGTTGTCGCCACTTCTGCAATGTGTGGCTTTGCCATTGAGGCCAATAGAAAAAGAGGTTTCTTCCATGGAAATACTGAGATCTGCAGCAACCAGAGTCTCGAGCGCGTCTGCACATGCGTGCCACGGTCAATAACTCCCCAAACGGAAGGTTCATGGCACATGCGTCTGTTGCCATCTGACGGTTCTGCCCCACCAAGTTCCTTTTGGGTGTTTCTCAAAACAGGAACCGGTTTCCCAAAATGGAAAACAAGGGATTCAACGTTCGGTCCCTCCAAGTACCCTTCCAATCCCATAGCTTTGATTTGTGGGAGGCTACCAGGGACCGTCCGTCCCTGCCAGCGCCAGGTTGGCGGGAAGGGTACCAAAATAGGCCGTGGCTCAAAAAAAAAAATCTTCACAAGTGGCACCATTTTTGTCGGCGTGCCAAAAAGGCAAAATGGGAACCAACGACTCCAACCCCAGCCGCATCAACCCCCCAGCGCCATCTCCCGCGATCTGAGCTCCCCGGCCCGGGTGGCGTCAGCGCCGCCCGGTGAGCAGATCCTGGGGTTGACTCAGAGCAGCTCCCGGGACTCGCCTCTCAAGGGCTCCATACAGATCCGGATGCATGAAAAACACAAAAAACATTGCTTGCCTTGTAAAATGGTGGTGTCCAACTTTATTTTGGTGGTGAAAAAACAACATGTTTTGCATGGTTGCAAAATGAATTTGTTTTAAGGAGCCCTGCACAATGTTGGGCAACAGGTCCATCAATACGCACCCAATTGATCATGGGCAACTACCTTCCCCCCACCCAAAAGGGAAAGTGGTCTTTTTGTGGCTTTGCCCAATGGTTATCCCATGCAAAGGAGGGTCGGTCAAAATAGGACCCACCGCATGGTGATCCCTTTGCATGAAGCTCGCAGGGTCCCGAGCACAAATGCTTGAAACCAGAACTGCGCCTGTGCACCCACCAATTTGCCTTGCCCAACCCTGTGGATGGCGCGGGTGGATTCACCGTCCCCTCCAAAGCAACAACACCAAACAACAAGAAAGGGGCAGGCCTCGCCAGGGATCCTTACACGAAAAACACCTGAACCTTGCATGCCTTGTAAATGGTGGTTTCCCTTTATTTTGGTGGTGAAAAAGCAACATGTTTTACATGGTTGCAAAATGAATTTGTTTTAAGGAGCCCTGCTGAGGGAACCCCGAAGATTCTGATCCGGAGCTCTGAGGGAACGAAGATTCTGACCACTCATACTGGATGGACGAAATGCATGTCGCACAGAAACCATTGTTCATTAGCATTTGCCGGGGTATCAGCATAGGGTTTTTTTAGGTGCAGGAATTTGTCCATCCACCGTATCTCCGCACATGCAATCCGATGTGGGCAAACTGACTTTTCTCCACAAGCTACAAAGTTCTCCATGAGTTTGGATCCCGCGCACACACTCAAGCACTTCACAAGGGACAGCAAAGCTCACGGTATTCGGGAAGAAACTGAGAAGCAGCAGCCTGCTCCAGTTCCCGGCAGCAACAGCCAAACCTGCATTAACAGGGGTCACCGGATTTCTCCTCGAAAAGTTGCAGCTTCCTCGCTGAAGCCGTTACTTTTGAAGGTTCAAGAGGAGGAAATGGAGTGATCCCTGATTAATGAAAGATTTGAAGAATGACAACCAAAGGATTGACAAATGACCTGGGTCCCAAAACCCAACTATTTGGCGACTCGTTAGAAATGGTCAACCCGAAAAGGGGTCCGACCTTTTTCAAAACGGCACCTCAAAAAGTACGCCAAGCATGAGAAAGCCGTGCGAACACACACACACACACACACACACACTTGATGGAAGACATCGAAACTGCGAAGGCGCACCCCCAAGCAACTGAAAGGTGAAAAGAGGAGTTTTGGCTTGACGTAAGCCCGGCAATTGTCCATCCTGCCGGCAATCCTCATCAGGAACGCCACCTGCCAACAGGATTACTGCATTCCGGGGTATTCGTCAAGGTGGCGTCCGACTCCAAGGAACAAGCAAAAACCCCAAAGACCCCTTCGGAACCAGGGGCACACACACACACCCAAAAGGGGGAACACAGGGCAAACCCCTGAAACCGAGAACACAAAGGCAAAAAGAAGCAAAAGAAGCAAAAAGAGCAAAAATAAAAAGCGGCTTTTCCACGGTTGTTTCGGCTTTTTCCCGTGCCTATCTGATGCACATACAAGGTCCCGGTCAAGCTGGTAGAAGATGCCGAGGATTGATCGCGTCTGGGCGCCATGCGTCCTGCCAAGTTGAAGTCGGACAAGGGGCCTGCGTCAGGGGGCATCAGATACGCCTGGCGGGACAGACAGAAGGGCGGGATACAAGTCTGGTGAAACATCTTGGTAAACAGTCAGTTAGAAACGGTTCTTCCTGTGCTTTTTTGGAGATCCGGCGAGGGTCAAAGTCAGCAGAAAAAGATCAGTGGTAGTGGTCACCAGGGTCAGCGGTAAAGGTCAGTCGGTAAAGGTCAGAAGAAATGGTCTGTGCATGAAGCAAATCGTATGCCCCGAAGGGTTCACGACACTGACCGTGGCTCGGAAGCAGCGCCGGTACACACTTGATGGAAGACATCGAAGCTGCGAAGGCGCGCGCCCAAGCAACTGAAAGGTGAAAAAGGAGTTTCGGCTTGACGTAAGCCCGGTAATTTGTTCATCCTGCCGGCAATCCTCATCAGGAACGCCATCTCAGGATTACTGCATTCCGGGGCATTCGTCAAGGTGGCGTCCGACTCCAAGGAACAAGCAAAAACCCGAAGACCCCTTAGGAACAGGGGGCACACACACACACCCAAAAGGGGGAACACAGGAACCCAAACACGAAACAGAAAAGGCAAAAGGCAAAAAAAAGACCCCCAGAAACCAAGAAAAAAAACAAAAAGAAGCAAAAGAAGCAAAAAGAGCAAAAAGAAAAAGCGGCTTTGTCATTCCGTGCGACGGTTGTTTCGGCTTTTCCCTGTGCCTATCTGACGCAGATACAAGGTCCTGGTCAAGCTGGTAGAAGATGCCGAGGAGTGCTTGCGTCTGGGCGCCATGCATCCTGCCAAATTGAAGTCGGTCGGACAAGGGGCCTGCATCGGGGGGCATCAGATACGCCTGGCGGGACGGACAGAAAGGGGTCAAGGGGGCGTGATACAAGTCTGGTGAAACATCTTGGCAAAGTCAGTTAGAAACGGTCCTGGGGTGCTTTTGCAAATCCGGTCAGAAAAAGTTCAGTGGTAGTGGTCAGCAGGGTCAGCGGCAAAGGTCAGTCGGCACAGGTCAGAAGAAAAGGTCTGTGCGTGAGGCAAATCAAATGCCAAGTGTAAGTGCAGGAGTATCAGGTTCGAAGTCACCATGCCGCGCACTGTTCATGCGAGGTGCCTCAGGGGCAAACTGGACCGGGGACAACTTGCATCTGCCCCTCATGGAAGCAGGCATTGGGTGCCCTAAATCACGCAGCCACACCTGAGATACTGCTTCTTCAACTAAGTGCGCCCACTGTGCAAAAGCATCCTCAAGATCACCCGAGTTTAGTAGGTTTTTGATAATAGGTTCCTCAGCTCGCGCGCGCCGAGCGCCGGGCGAACAGGCACCATTGGTCAACCCAACAGATGGCAGCTCCCCCTGCTTGATGTAACCCACCATCTGCTCGAAGCCTGGGCATTGGTTGACTAAAGTGTCTTTATCTCTTTTTCTACTGCGTGGCAACTTTGCCCGCCTGCCTGCGGAGGCGGCGGCTCAGGGCCCGGGCGGGGCATTACGTTTAAGCGCACGTACTTGGCAGCGTCCTAGAGAAGCTGCAAGTAAAATGCACGGCTGCGCTCTACTGCTCCTGCGCCAGGTCTGCTGCCTGCACACCGTCGGCTGCGCAGACGGTTGTGATGGCCCTGGCCGTGGCTTGCCAAGGCCGCCTTGGGGTCTTCTGCAGGTCGTCCTCGACAACGCGGTTTCCCCCAACAGATCCGGGCCTGTCGCACGTCCTTGTTCGTCGCCTCTGCGGTTGGAGTTCTTGTAGAAGCAGCGGCCCTTGCGCTCCGGCAGGCAAGGTTGCTGGAACGTTCGTAGCAAGCTTCCGGAAGCTCCGCAGCTTCCAGCAGTCCCGCCAGAGCCGCCTGCCTTTCCGGAACATTGAGGCCGCCTACTCCAGGCCGTCTGCGCATAGACGGTCCTAGATGCTTTTTAAAATACAATTTTTCCAAGGTGTAGGCCCAGTACAAATCAATAGGCAGTCACCGCCGGAGTCCAAGATGGGCTGATGCAGAGCCTGGACTACAAGCTGAAGACCAGCAACACCAGCTACGTGACGGCGCGGCACGACGCGCAGTACAAGCGCCTCCTGCCACGCTTTGGAGGCATCACGCAGGGCTTGCCTGAAACTAAACAAGACACAGGCACACAGAACCAACACCGCAAGACTTCCCTTGCCTGGCACTTCG